ACGTCCTCCACAACTAGACTGAAGAACAAAACGACAGCAACTTGTCTGTTCCCCTTCCCCCGATTCCCCAGCGCTGTTCCCATCCCCCCAATTCTCCAATAAAAATCTTTAATAAAAAAAAAAAAGTAAGGACTTTTTTTTTAAGCCTTTTTCGATGAGGCCATCCATCTGCTTGTTCTTTTTTTCCAGATCAGAGCATAGAGTGTTGGTGAGGCACTCTGAAGGGTGGATAACTATAAAAATTGTAATTGGACAACCTACACTTCAGATTTATGGACTGAGCCACACATAATAAAATCTCTTTTGGTTATTGATCCAGAAGATTTAGGCCTGTTTCAGGTTTGGGTGGACATCATTATGTTGCTAAGGGCAAGTTCTTAATCATTTTATATTAATATATAGTAGACGTGATGCCTAAAGGTTTAACTTTAAGATGCTACGGAGAAGAGAAAGAGAAGTCCTGATGTTATACCACCTAATACAGATTTTTTGCTCCTCTAAGAGAAACGTTGCTTGTTACCTAAAATAACAAGATTATCTTTAGGAGTTCTTCACACCAGTCTTTCCTTCCCCAAACTAATATGATGAAAGTTTGATATCTGTAGCTCTTTCGACTCGACAAACTGCATGGTGCAAGAGGCCAAAATAAAGAAAATAGTTCTTTAAAAAAATTGATATGATCTGTATGTACTTACACTTTGTACTTGGCTTAAGTAGTAGAGAATGACTTAACTTTCAACTTTACTGTTTTGCCTTTAACCATTGTGTATGAATCAAGGTGTGTAGTTGTCCTGCCTCGTCGGTGGGACCACTGCTTTGTTTATGACCATTTTACATTTTTTTCATTTCTATCATGCACAAGAATTTGTCATGCTCTTAAGGAAATGGCACTAAAATACTAATTTCCCCAGTTGGGTGTAGGCATAGTTAACTGAGCCCCAAAGGGTGCTAAAAGAGAAACCCTATTCCATCTGACTAGATGCAATGAGCAAGACTCCTTTCTTTCCTCAGCACATTATTACATTTACGCGTCCCCCCCCATCTGAAATTGAATAGCCCCTCAAAATTGAATATGCCTTCTCTCATGAATATTTGGTGAGAATAAATGCAAAACAAAAAAACACATGTTTCCATTTTCCTTGAAACAGTCAATGTCCACAGTTTATTTTTTCAGTCATCTTGAATGGAGAAATTCCACTGGAAACAATTGATACCAATTGTATCAAAGCAAAGGTTAAAGATTATAAAATCTAAATGATAGATCAATGTAGTCTTATCCAACATACCCACAATAGCACTATAAATCGGTATTTTCAGATTTACAGATAACAGAGCAAGAACCGTTAAATATGATGACATTATTAGGATTTAAAATTCTTTCAGTGCTGAGACAAATTTAAGATGAAATTGGGCACATTCCATTGCCAAAGTGAAAGGAAGGGAAACCTGACTTGTTGGTGGTACTCAGGAGAAAAGACCTGGCAGTTTTATTTGACCAAATTCTAACATAAGCCCACAGAACAACACACCTGGGGAGGGCTAGAGGAGGAGAGAGCAAAAAAAAAGCCTTATGAGAGCATATTGATGGAAGGATGTGTCCAGATCAAAAGAATTATCCCTCTGGACTTCAGTGTGGTAAGATCAATCACAGCTAGAATATCATGTTCTATCCTAGGTGTCACATTTTAAGCAGACTAGCCAAGTATTACAGTGTTTGGAAGAGTCAGAACAGAAGGGTGATGACCTTGAAAATACTTCTCAAGAGAAATACAAAAGAATTAGGGAAGTTTCATCTGGAGATGAATTCAGAAACATAAATAATAGCTCTCTGCAAATCCTTGAATGCTATTGGAGTAAGAATAGGATGATTCTGCATTGCTTTGGAAGTCAAAGCTTAAAGAAATGCTTGGAAAATATAAGGAGGACTTAGTTGAGTATGAGGAAGCAGTTTCTAATAATTATTGTTGAGTAAAAATACATTCTGCTACTACTGTTCATGAGTATTCAAACAAAGCCTATGGCTGCCAGGAGTGTTTTCACAGAGGGGAACCATCCTTTGAGTAGACATTCCTACCAGATCAACTTGGAGGTCTCCTCCAGGGTTTAAGATGCAAGAAATATGTAGTGATCTTGAGCAAAACATCACTCAGGTGAAAGAAACATTTACATGCTGGACCTTAGAAATGGCATTTAGAGGTTGCAGCCCCCTCATACTGCAGGGTTCTGGTTCAAGCATCGTGTTTTAAGCATTGCCTTACTCCTCCTCTGATCATCCAGTGCTTATCTAGAGGTGACTATCAGTCTTCCAATGGGTAATGTGGTGACTGAGGATGAGGGCTTACCAGTCCTATATCACCATAATAAAGCCAGAAGCTCTTAGAGACTAAATAAAGGTTCATTTTCTTCCTTTATAGAATTTGCAGTTGCTCTCTGCCCATTCCACCCACCACTATCTTCATCACACATAGACAGAGGCAAAAATGTGACTCAAATACCCAGTTCAGTATGCAAGCATTCCACCATATTGTGATCCCTTCAAGTCACTGTTTCTATATCCTGTTCTCCACAGGCTTTGACTCTTAGTGAATAGTCCATAAATATTTGTTAAATAAGCATACCTTCTTTAAAACTACCTTTTGCTATAAGGATGCATTTTTCTACAATCACTGCAAAATTTTTATGGATCTAAAACTACATGGATAAATTCTTTTTACACCTCCTATGGAAGGAGCCTTTCTCTTTAGTGTACTGGAAGAGTTTGTATGAGGTGGATGGAAGAAATGTGCTTTTTATAAAAGAAAAAGGTGGGGGCATATTTCTAAATATCCTTTCACTTCTCTCTGTGATTCTGTATTCTACACCTAGGAGTTTCTTAATCTAGAATCTGGTTTCCTAAAAGATCTAGGAAAGGGGGAGAGAAAGTAGATGTCCGTGACTGCCCTGAAATTATATTGAAATTTTTGTGTACACAGATATGTGCATTTCTTCTAGGGAAAGGGTCCCTAGCATTAATCAGAAAAATTTCAGAACTTCTGTCTTAAACAATTTGTTTTCAAACTCTTGGTTTCAGATTCAATTTGAAGACTATAAATTGTCCATTATCTATCAGGCACTGTGTTTGCCACAGAGGATAACAAAAATGACCAACAACACTGAACCTAAGTTGCTCACAATGTAACGAGGAAGGCAAATCAGTTCATAATACGTTGAGATAAAATATAAAGCAAAGGTATGTATAAAAAGCTTTTATGTTGTTTTCCCACACACTGGTTGACTACTGTACAATTAAAGCTCTGTGCCACAAAATTTTAAGATTACCATGCCACTTGACACTACAGACTTATTTCTAACAAAATGGTTGATTTTCTCTCTTCAGTATGTCAACCGTGGGAATAGATTATATTCTGCCATCTTTGTTATATCCAGGAGTTTCTTAGACCCTGTGGTTAAAGAACTCACAAGCGAGAGATGAAAATATTCACTTTAACCATTTGTATGCACTGGGATCAAATGGCTATAAAACTCTAGCTATTAGAGGAATGATGTGGGACG